TTGAATCACCGGGAAGTAGTTCATTCGGTACTCTCACCTCTCACACAGAAGTGTTGGGAAGGTGTACCTTCCAGGTGAAGCTTCTTCGTACGAGCAGATCTGCTCTTACGGCTTAGAGAGTTGCGAGCGTGTATTTCTATTTGCTTACTGAAGTGCCTACTGTATTGCTCGCCGTAGCCGTTCCCCTTCTGAGTTTGCAACTTGCCTCTGTCTTAGAATGCTTTTAGGGTGTTTTACACATCAGGAAGCATGAAAATCTTTCATCGTTCAACGTACAGCATCTGAGTACCCTTCCCTCTTTGGGATGAGCCTTGCGCTTACGACCCTTCCTCCTTCCTCCGCGATCAAATATGACCCCTCCACCTTGTGATTTCACAACGACGGCGTGCCCGCGTCGGGATAGTGCACAATCGCCAATCACGTTTTCTTGCACTGTTCATCCGAGAAAAGAGCACGTTACTTCAGCTGCGGGTCGACCACTTCGCACATGACAGTGGCCGTCCTCGGGAGTCAGTGTACAACTTGTCTTCAGCATCATTGCGCTTGCGAAAAGAGCTTTTGCAAACTCCTAGGCCGAACTTTTTGAGTATCGAGTTCATGAATGCATGCATCTCGAAGTGATGACTCCTTCATCAGTCTGCCTGAATTTCTTTTTTTTGACTATCACGAAGTGCAATATTTTCTCTGCAACTTTAGAAACTATCATGCGAGCTGTTCTGTGTTTTATTCTGGCCGTGTTCCAACATGCGCAGGGACAGTGGGTAGAAAAGTCGTTCGGGGAAACGAGGGACTACTACAAGGTGAGCTTCGAATTTCATAGAAAAATTCTTTTATGAGGACATGTTTGTTCAAAACAGTCAGATCCCCTGTCTCAAAGACAATGTTAGCACCCGTAACACTTCCAGAAATGACTAGTTACAATAACAAGGACTTGCTACCAATTAATCTCGATAGAAAGAGGTTTAGCTCATCCCTAGTTGGTGTGGAGCCTTACTTCTCAGTAGCGGCACGAACGCAGCACCCGCTTCGGGCCCAATTGACTCAACCTGACAGCGAGACTGCGCGTCAACTACGTTTCCACCGAGATCCCGGAGCTGGGAAGTGAAGCTCCACATCCATCACTAGGCGAAGGGCCGCCGACACTCGCACGCGTCACATACGAAGGAAGGCGCTCGACTTCGATTTCGGTAAGCATACTGATTGCAGCATTTGTGCGATGCCATCTGATCCTCCATTTACATGCGTACATACATATTTGACGCTGTTTCTCTTTACACCAATGTCTAGAACGGGGATGTTTGCAGGTATTGTCAGTGACGCACGATAGGCATCCTAGTAGCACAATTCATTTGGACTCGGCAAAGTACATATTATAATTTTTAGTGAGGAAGTGCTTAGGCTGCAGCATTTTTAAATGGGCGGGCACATCCTGTTCACAAGTAAGAGGCTTCCATGGGTCCGACTCCGATCCCACTAGCACTGGTTCTCGCTGTCTGCTTCATGGGTAGCATCAAAGGGCCGTGCTAGAACGTCGCCCGAAGCTATACCTCACAGGGG